AAGGCAACCCAAAAGGACCATGCACAACCGGGTCAAATAGTTGCCTAATATAGTTGCAGCCTTAGACACTATTCCAACATGTTTATATGTTTATGTTATGTGATTATGTATGTATGTGTGTGTGTATATATATATATATATATATATATATATATATATATATTTGTTGATATGTTTATATGTACACCAGGTTTTGGTCCGACATCGGGCGGGGATTGATGTCGGGCGGGGCCCAATGCCGAATTTTGGTCCGACATCGGGGATGATGTTGGGCGAGGCACGATGTCAAACTTGTCCAATGTCGGGCAAGGCCCGATGTAGCGGGCAAGGCCCAATGTATGTTATTATGTGATTATATGATTATGTGTATGGTATGTGGTAGTTTGGGGAGACTTGCTATTCGTGCTTACAGTTTTTAGTTTTGGTTTCGGGTACTTTCGGTAACAAGGGGAAGAGCTCGGGATGACTGCAGTTTTTAGTTTGCGGAGACTCGCTATTCGTGCTTACAGTTTTTAGTTTTGGTTTCAGGTACTTTCGGTAACAAGGGGAAGAGCTTGGGATGACTGCAGTGCACACACCATTTGTTTAGCATGGGATGTTTATACTCTGATATATTTCACAGATGTTTATATTATTTTGAGATACATGATTTATGGTTTTTTTATGTGATGAATTGTTAACTATGGTTTTCTTAAGGATTTAAAACAAAATTTTTAGTCTGTATTTTCAGGATGTTACAATAGCATAACCTATTAAGCCATTTTCCTACAACTCCAGATGTGGAGAGTTGCTTGTTGAAACAAATCCTAAGAGTGCTTTCTTCTTCTTCTTCTTCTTCTTCTTCTTCTTCCACAAAACACCACCAAACAACATAAAAATATAAAGTTTACCGATAGAGGTTAGGATTTTATCTTTGGGGTTGATGGAGAGTGATTAAGTCCAAGGATGAGAAAAACTAGCTATCACATCCCTTAAATAGGGGCACAAACCCCAAATTAGTGTTTGCCATAAAAAAAAACAGCCACACCATGGTGAATAGATCGCCACGACGTTGCACTAACTTAGTTTCCATGAAAAATTTGACCTTGGCCATGTCATGGGACTCCATCACCAAATCGTGGCCATCAAAATTCCAAATTTTGAAATATTAATTTAATAAACGAGAGATTCCCGAAACTTGGCGTTACAATTGAGGATTTTATAGTGTACTGTGATGCTTCGATACTAGGTATGGGTTTGGTTTTGATGTAGATGGTGGCACGTGATCGATTATGCTTCGAGGCAACTGAAACATCATGAGGCAAGTTATCTTACTCATGATTTGGTGTTAAGGTTTATGGTTTTCTCTCTCAAGATTTTGCTTCACTACTTGTAAGGGGTATATTGCACCATTTACACGGACCACAAGAGTCTGAGATATCTAATGGTTTCACCCAACTTGAATATGAGGGCATCGAAGATGGCTTAACATAATGAAAGACTACGACGATTAGATTGTATACCACGCTCGTAAGGCTAATATGGTAGTCAATACGCTGAATCGCGGGATGGTTAGTACTTTGATTTAGGATTTATGTTTGAGGACAGTAGTTGTGACTCCTATTTTGGAAATGATTAGGGTTGCACAATTAGAGGTTATCAAGGAGGATAATCGGAAGAGCGAGCAGGTGGTTGGTCAAGTATCAACTTTTGCTTATGATATCAGGGGGTTGTTGATGCTGCATGACAGGATTTAGGTGCCTTAATTGGGTAGGAACCGACAAAATTTGAAGGAGCACACAAATCTAAAATATATATTCATCCGGGCGAAGCGAAGATGTATCATGATCCGAGACATGTCTACTAGTGGCCATATATGATGAAAGATATAACTTGGTTCGTAGAGCGATACTTGACCTGTCGGAAGGTCTAGGAGGGACATCAAGGCCCTCATAGAAAATTACATCCCTTGGAGTCCCATTATGGAGATGGGAGCAAATCACCATGGATTTCATCACAAAATTACCAAAGAATGAAAAAGGGATTTGACGTTATCTGGGTGATTGTCGACTGGTTCACCAAGAGTACTTACTTTTTGGCTATCTGGAAGAGTTCTTTGGCTGATATTTATGTTTGAGAGGTGGTTGCTCGCCATGGTGTGCCTACATCGATTATTTTAGACTGGTATTTTCATTTCACTTTCAGATTTTAGAAGAGGTTCCATGAGGAGCTGGATACCCAGTTACACGTTAGCACCGCCTATGATCTATAGACGGAAGAGTAGAGTGATCACAGCATTCAAATGCTCAATGATATGTTGAGGGCTTTCATTATTTATTTCGGTGGGAGTTGGGACTTCTAACCTCCCTTGGCTTAGTTCTCATACAACAACAACTATCATGCTAACATTGGTATGCCTCCCTTCGAGCTTTTATATGGGAGGAAGTTTTGAACCTTAATTTTCTAGGGAGAGGTTAGGCTGAGGGTGATGGGGAGCACGAAGATAACGCTCAAGACATCATATCTCATATAATAGGTTAGGCAAAGCTTATGGAAGTGTGTGACCGATGGGACAAATGTATTTCCTTTAGATGATATTCAGGTCGATGATCGCCTGAATTATGTTGAGCGACCGATGGTGATTCTGGATAGAAGACGAAGGCCTTGCACAATAAGGTGGTGGATCTGGTAAAGGTGCAATAGTAGCAATGGAATGTTCAAAATGGATGTGGTAACTCGAGGAGGAGATGCGTACCCACTATCCTGATTTGTTTGCTGAACTCGATTTCAAGGGTGAACTCTGATTCAAGTGGGGGAGATTTGTAACATCCAGTTGCATGTATTTTGATGATGAGTTAATTATTTAAATTTTTTGGAAATTTTGTTGGCTAAGTCGTGACGTTGGGTGAGCCACGACGTGGCATTAGCTGAGAAGAAACGTGCCTTGGCACGATACCACGACGTAGATGTATGTTGCCACAATGTGGTAGCCATTTTGGGTCAAAACCCTAATTTTTAGGGTTGGTGCCCTATTTAAGGGCACCAACTTGAAGGGTTTCCTCATTTGAAAGCCTCCATTCTCTAAAAATGAATCTTCACCCAAACCCTAGCGTTTTGTGTGTGTTTTGAGTGTGGGAAGTCACTTAATGAAGGTTAAAGTGGGAGAAGCTCATCTTGGTGGTTGTATATGCTTGTTTCCAGGTTGGATCTTGCATCTTCACTCCATTTTTAACCTTTTTGAGGGATAAAGTATCTGCCTTTCTTATTAAAGCATGTTATATCTAGGTTTTATCCAATTTTCTCCATCTTTGGGTTATGGTGGTCGCATAGTATTCAAATGTCTCAGATTTAGAGTTTGGTGGCTTTTTGAGCTTCATGCATGAGATTGAGGTGTTATTTCCCCATTTTCACCTAAGTTGGAGCTCTAGACTTGCATTGGACATGCATGGCTTAAAACCATCAATCTTTGTGATGCATTAAACCTTAGGAAGTTTTCTAGAAATTTGGAAGAAGTGGCTTAGCGGATTTAGGACTAAGCGACATGGCATTATGGCCACTACAACATGGTGATTAGGGGAAGGTTGACTATTTTATTGTGTAGCACACACAAAGTAGCCTATGAGTGGTCATGACGTGGAGACCTGCTAATGTTGATTTTGACGAATGTTGACTTTTGGACAATTTAGGGGTTTTAGAATGTAGACCCAGACTTGTAGATTTTTATGATTTCATGTACTTATGATGATTGTGAGAAGATAAAAACATGACTGTACACACCAACTTGCAAATTTTTATGATTTTCACACTCTGATACTTTGATTTGAGATGATTGTATTTGATATACCTGGGATTTGATTGACTTGATTTTTATAATATTTGAGGTTTTTCTATATTAAAAATGAAAATTTTTGTTATAAATAGCTTTGGTCTCTTTTGTTTTCAGCTGTTAGATTATGATGCAGATTGACGGATATGGATTAAGGTCATCTCTTTGATGCGAAATGTGGTTTTTAATCTTTAGCAACGACAACATTAACGGCATTTTACGGAATTGTTCAATGAAACATAATGAGTACTTAACATTCAATTTATTAAACTCCAAACTTCACCCTAATGACATGCTATATTGTGATATTGACATTCTATGTAAATGAATTTCATTGAATTTTTTAAGTTATAATTAAATGTTGAATTCGTTGAATTTTTTTTAAAGTTTATTGTATCGTAGAAAAAAAGTTGTAAAATTGTATCACTTGTATGAACAATAGAATGATAATGTGATTTATCAAATCTATAAAATTCAATTCGTTGTAAATGCGCTTATTATGCACGTCTTCATCTATTTCTTGTTGTTTTTTTCTCCTTGTGTAAATTTATAAATACAGAACAATTGTACTCTGTCGCATACACATAAAATTATTTCATGATAAAAACAACATGTAGAAGTCTGTAGGCTTACAAAAACTAATTCTATTATGACGGCCGTTGACATAGAATAAAAGACTAAAATTAATAAATACAGAAAAATTTGTACTCTATCGCATAAACATATAATTATTTGATAATTAAAACAATACATTTGATGTAAGCTATTGGCCCACAAGGATAACTTCTATAAGGAAGGCCATTGACTTAGAATAGAAGCCATGTTAATGTTCTTCCTTATCAACAAGTCTATATCGTTCACCAAAAGTAAAATGACAAACGTAATAAAGTGGGTAAAAAAGCTACCATTGACGGATATGTAGATTTTTTTAACGGAAAATCTAATATAATCCTATCTGATTCTAAACTAATCTTGATTCCATTTATGTCCCATATGGGACTTGAATCTCGACCATAAAAAAGGAAGGCAACACCTGGACCTCAAAAAGGGATCATGTAGATAAATGTAACAACATGCATGATCATAATGTTTGAGCAAGGTTTCCAATGACTTTGAAACCCTATGACCAACAAACATAGGAACTCTGACAAATCTTTATGAACTTGCCGGGTAAGTTTTAGAACCGAAATGGTTGTCAAGGAAAAGGATTCTTTAAGTAAGCACACCACTTATCAATAAACGCCAACTCGTCTGGATTCAAGCTTGGAAGTTCACGAACTTGAAGGCTGTTGATTATCTGTGTAGTCTCACCAAGAAGTTGGGCTGCAGCTTGGACACTCGCCTCCCTTTTTTCTATGGCATTTTCGTGGCATTTCATTGCAATGACTTGGGGTAAGTTAGTGAGACACGCAGCCAGTATGTCAGCGATCATTGATGATAACTGTGCCAATAGTTCATCCTGGCTAACCTCGTCAATGTTCTCGTGGTAGGAGAGCATTATTGTTTCAGTGATACGATACATTGAATTGGCACAAATAAACTTGTATCTCGAATTATCATCTTGGCTTTCCACCTCATTGGCTTTGTTTTTAGCTGTATCCCTTAACCATTGAAGAATATATCCCGGTGTATTCACTTTAGGCTTAGGTTTTGGCAGCTTGTGTCCTAACCATTTGTGGTAGACTTCAACTTCTACCCACAAAGTTTTAGCCGCCTTTTGAATGCTTACATGATTATCAGTAGCATTGAGGGTTTCTTCCACAAGTTTGACATATACAAGACCTTCACTCACACCATTCAACAAGCAATCGACTTTCTTCTTTTGGATGTTCGGAAGAGACATGGCGATGGATGTGAGAGTTACCAATGGTAAACTCCAACAGTTGAGATATTCTTCTGAAAGTAAAGGCGGAACATGATGGCTGTCAATCCTTTCAACTCCTTCAAAACCTCTAGATTCTGCTAGAAGCTTCATAAGATTCTTTGGTTGTTGTTTTTCAGACTTTCGGATCAAGTGGTTCACAGATTTTGAAATACCTTTTAATGTTTTCTCAGCAAACTCTATGTCATCTTGAAGTTGCAGAACATACTGTCTTAGATCTCTATCGTTCTCAAGCTGCTCAGGATTTTGTCCCAACACAATGCTTGATGCGCTAAACATGGCCTTTAAGCACGTCCGACAACCCAGACAATACGAGACACATATCACAAAGAAAACCGGAATCATTGTTATCAAAATTGGAATCACTGCTATAATCTTGCATGCTACCACGATTGTCTTCTGAAATCCTATACAAATGCTGAGACTTAGGATTTTCAAATGGTGAATGACAATCTTGCATTTGCGGCTTCTGGATGGGAAATGTATGCTACTCTGTTTCCAATCATATAACTTCTGGGTCCAGTAACTCTCTACTTTATAGACCTTGAGTTGCTTCCAAATCCATTTTACTGACAGCTTAAAGCTTAATGCTGCAAAACATCTTGCTACTGGGGCAATCGTACCCAGTATCACTCCGATACTTTGTATAATATAAATCAGTGACATCGACCACTTGTAATCGGAACTATAGTCCATTAGATTTCCCAAATCAACGATCATAAACAAAATAAGTAAGACACTGGTTAAAGCACATATTACCCCAGAAGCGGAGGTTGTAGCAGAGCAAGCTGTCATAAATTGAGGGCTTCCAGTTCCTGCCATGATCCAGTAGTTGCTCACATGCTGCTTTAGCTTCTCAACAGTTAGCACTCTTCCTGGTTGTTGCAGCTCTTGATCCATTAAAGTTGTTTGATGAGCGGATTGGTATTTAGATTCTAGAATCTCTTTCGACTTTAGAATTGCTAAAGATGAACAAGCATATATTATCAGCAACATGAGTAAGGGAACCACATAAGCGACTGCATAAATAATACTCTGGAGGAAGGTTCCTTTAAGATATGTATAAACTGGAGTAGCCACAAGGACATCAGCATCATCTACTGAATAAAAGAGAATCCCGGTGTTAATTTGAATGCAAATATTGACAACCAAGGTGATTACTAGAACACCCAAGGCTATGACGTTTGTGACAAGTTCCTTGGTGTTCATGGTTGCTAGAGAAGGCAGCATATTAGCCATCATGGTGCACATAAACCACACGCTTCCAAACTTTGCATTCAGGTCAACAATACCTGGCATTAGATTACTTAGATCCATGGGTAGCTTTATTGCGGCAGCTATCACTGTGAGAGATGCGGCATTCAGAGTGAAATACTTACATGGAAACCAGAGCTTTCTGTTACGCAAACCATGTAATAAATCAGCCACCATTGCAAGGATGCATAACAGGGATGCACAGGCGATATAGATCCCAACCAACGGCATTGGTTTGTTGTATAAGTTTTGCTGATGTGACTGGTATACTAAAAATCTTTAAGGAAGATATGTAGTCTTCTGTAATATTTTTGCAAGAGGTCACTTGCCAAAATTGGTTGTAGAGTAGGTGGAATCCATGATAATGTTGCTACAAGGAAAATGAATTGGGTATGCGATGCGGATAAGGGGTGTAAGGAGATGGAGAGAACGAGATTTATTTTGTGGAAGACTTAAAACGAAAGTATGTTGATACAGTGCTATGGATAACTTAAAAAAATGAATATTTTATAATCTATCACTTGATCCCACTTTGAAACTTTCGTACATTAATTATGGGGAACGACTTTCAAAAACTGTCTTTGTCACGTGGTCCAAGAAGGACCCATATGGATTTTATATTTATTAGAATACAAAACACATATAGAAATATTATTTATAGTTTTAAAGAAAATAAATGTATGGAAATTGGAAATGTTTAACCAACCTACTAGTTTTGTTAATTTTATCAACCAAACTTAATAGCTTTTCTTATTTAAGTTATTTAAGGGGTAAAAATGCAAAAACTAGGTTATGATGTATGTATTTATTATATTATCTTCCTTTTTTTTTTATTACTTTAGGGGGCTGAATTTTGAATTATTCTTTAATGAGATATTCTATTTTGAAAAAAAGATACGATCTAATTATTTATAACATTAAATGCTGTTTCTGAGTTTTATAAAAAGATATAAATTAAAAAATTTACTTGGGAGTTAACATGTCAAAATTTGCCACTAATCACCAACTCACCCCACTTAATTCACTTCACAACCCATGTGCTTATTCAAATCTTCAGTTGGGGGTAGTGTTTACAGGGAGCGTTTAACATGTAAAAAATTGCCTAATCACTAACACCTCCACTTCACTTCACAACCAATGTGCACCCCACTTCACTTTACAACAAATGTGTTTATTCAAATCTTCAGTTGGAAATGGTATTGCCAAATCATGGATGATGTTATATATCTGAATGAATTCTTGAGATTTATGGAGACTAGAAAAAAAAAAATAATATAAAATTTTTGACATCTCATTCTTCATGTCATCTCAATTATGTGGTATGGTTCTTATCGGAGATTTATCAGAGATTTCTTCAAGATTGTCATCCCCTTTATCAGGTTGACCTGGAAGGGTATTACTTTTATTCGGGGTCCCGGGCAACAGACCGCTTTGAGACTTTTTGCCAGAGATTGTACGAAGCCCCGGTGTTAGCCCTTCGCGAGGGAGTGGAGGACTTTGTGGTTTATTGTGATGCATCTATATCCACGATGAGTACGGTGCTGACTCAGAGAGGGTAGGTGATAGCATACGCATCGATGCTGTTGAAGCCTCACGAGACGAGATATCTCACCCACGATCTAGAGCTGGGAGAGGTGTTGTTCGCTCTCAAGATCTGACCCCACTATTTATACAGGGTTTGGTGTACCATATACACGGACCACAAGAGTCTAAAGTATCTCATGGATCAACTCAACCTAAATATGCGACACAGGAGATGGTTGGATGTGGTGAAGGACTATAACTGTGAGATCATGTATCATCTGGGCAAGACTAATGTGGTAGCCGATGCCCTGAGCCGCAGAGCAGAGAATGCTCCGATCCGAGATGTGTGTATGAGGATGACGGTGATGACTCCAGTCTTAGATACCATTCGAGAGGCCCAGGTGGAGGCCGTGAGACTGGAGAACTGCAAGAGGGAGTGGGTGATTGGACAGGTGTCCGAGTATGTGATGGATAGCCAAGCGATTATGACTTTCCAAGGGCGGATTTGGGTGCTCTATACGGGCGAAGCTCGACGTATATTGGTTGAGGAGGCGCATAGATCGAGATTCTCAATCCATCTTGCAGCCACTAAGATGTATTTGGACCTGAAGAGAGACTACTGGTGGCCCTGTATGAAGAGGGATGTTGCTTGGGTAGTGGAGAGGTGCTTGACCTGCAGCCAGGTTAAGGCAGAGCACCAGTGTCCACATGGCCCATTACAGCCTCTAGAGATTCCCCGATGGAAGTGGGAACATATCTCTATGGACTTTATCACCAAGTTACCGAGGACTGCACGTGGAGTTGACGCGATTTGGGTGATTGTGGACCTACTGATGAAGAGTGCTCACTTCGTTGCTATTAGTGAGAGCTCTTCTATAGAGAGATTGATTGAGATCTATGTGAGAGAGGTAGTAGCACGACATGGAGTGCTGACCTCGATAGTATCGGATCGAGACGTGCGTTTCACTTCCCGGTTTTGGAAGAAATTTCATGAGGAGTTGGGCACACGCTTGCATTTTAGTACTGCGTACCACCCGTAGACGGACGGGCAGAGCGAACGGCCGATTCAGACGCTTGAGGACATTTACTGTGCATATATCATGGACTTCGGGGGAAGTTGGGACACCTACTTACCACTGGCTGAGTTTTCTTACAACAACAACCGTCATTCGAGTATTGGTATGCCTACCTTTGAGCTTCTACACGGGAGGAGGTGTCGGACTCTTATTTGTTAGGGAGAAGTGGGACAGAGAGTGATAGGTGGCGTGGACATAGTGCTAAAGATGACCGAGCAAATTCAGTAGGTCAGACAGAGGTTACTGATGACCCAAAGTCGCCAGAAGAGTTATGCAGACAGGTCACGATCCGAGCTAGAGTTTCAGGTCGTGGATTTTGTCCTCCTAAAGGTATCTCCATGGAAAGGGGTGATCCAATTCAAGAAACGGGGCAAGCTAGGGCCCCGATACATCGGTCCTTTCAGAGTGACTGCTAGATTGGGTAAGGTAACATACCAGTTGGAGCTACCTGTAGAGTTGATTCAGATCCAAAACACCTTCCACGTGCTCCAGTTAAGGAAGTGTGTAGAAAATGAGACGAAAATAGTACCCCTAGAGGACATTTAGGTGGATGCAAGTCTGAATTACATTGAGAGGCCGATTGTGATTTTGGATCGAAAGGTGAAGGTTCTGAGGAACAAAGAGGTGTCCATGGTTCAGGTTCAGTGGCAACATCGGAGAGGGTCCGAGTTGAATTGGGAGCTAGAGTCAGAGATGCGGGAGCAACATCTAGAGTTATTTGTGGAGCATGACTTCGAGGGTGAAGTCTGATTCTAGTGGGGGAGAATTGTAACATCCCAAGTCCAGCTATACCTTGTAACCCTTGATCTTTTGAGCACTTGTTCATTTTGGCCCTTATAGAGAAAAGGTGGTAAATGAGTACGCCGGGCGTACTAAAGTGTACGCCCAGCGTACTCATATGCGTGCATATGACGCGCAGGCTACCTAGTACGCTGGGCGTACTAGGCCTATAATGAAAACCCTAATTTTTGGTGAGTCTCCTATATAAAGGATATGGTGGCCTCATTCCTAGCCACCATTCCCAGACACCAAACCCTCCCAACCCTAAATCATTGTTCTCAAATATTGTGAGTGCACTTGAGAGCTTGTGAGTGTATTCTTGTGTTCATGAAGTGGAGAATAAACTTTAGAGAAGAAGGAGTGAGAGTCCAAGCCCTTGGATCTAAGCATAGCTGTGTGGAAAGCTTCACATAGAGGTATCAAGCTTCAAGCTTTCTCAATCTTTTGATTGTGCATCTAAATATAGTATTTTAGGGTTTTGTCCCAAAAGATGAAGACTTTAAGAGATAATGAGCTCCAGAGACCATGATCAACCCCCTTTGAGTGTATTTAGTGGAGTAATATCATAAAAATTCAATATCAGATGTTAGAAACAAGCCATGCATGAGATATGAGCTTTATGAGAAAAGGGGGTGAGTGTTTTGAATTTTTGTGACCAAATCAGCCATGCAAAGGCTTAAAGTCATTGACTTTACGGATTAAGAGATATTAGGGAGTCCAGATTTCTGTTATGAGCCAAGGTCTTAACTGATTAAGACCCAATATATGTGAAGAGTGAAACTGGAACTTATGTTGGGCGTACTCCTAGTACGCGCGGCATAGGAGTCGAGCATCCCCAATGTATGTATGGCAGTAGAGTACGCCCAACGTAGAGAGAGATGGTACGCGCATCGTACTCCCTGTCGTTGACTTTTTCGTGCACTTTTAGGGTTTGGTTAATTTGTGGACTATTAAGCCCATGGAGGGGTAAAATGGTCTTTTACCCTTCTATAAGTTTATAGAAGGGTTAGTCTAGCTTCATGAGAGCCATAATTAATTACGGATAATAGTCGCAAGTGTTAGGCGGAGGCTAGACCGGTGATTCGAGTTCGAGGCTATCTGATTCTTACGAGGTGAGTCTTCTCACTATACATACCTAGAGTGGTAATCTGAATAGTGTGACCAGAGGGTCTTATGTGTTATTTGAGTACTGTGATATTCCTGCATTATGTCTATGTGATTTATGTTATGTGTTATTCTGAGTATACAGAGTTAGGACCGGAGGGTCCATCAGAGTTGTAGGGCCAGAGGGTCCCACTGAGACACATTGACCGGAGGGTCTTACAGAGTTATAGCCTCGAATGACTAATGACTTGTATGTGGTATTTTGGGGAACTCACTAAGTTTCGTGCTTACCGTGTTATGTGTTATCTGTTTCAGGTACTTCTTAGGATCACAGGAAGGTGCCGACATGATTGTACACACACATCAGAGATTGAGTTATGATTTAGAGGATCCTGGATTATATATATATATATATATATATATATATATATATACAGTTTTTGATTATCAGATTTGATGATTTGACATTGTGACATTTTGGGATTTTGATACTGTGATAAATGTGTTTTTAAATTGAAAAAATTTGTTTGAAAATTTACGTATTTACAATGAATACATTAGAATGTTATTATTATTCAATTTCAGGTTCAAGAATTTTATTATTCTTTATTAATATCGAATAATATAACATTCTGTCAGAATAACATTCTGACAATTAATAAAGAATAACAAAACAGTATTGTATAATTGAATTAATTAAAAAAATCAGAATTCAAATTTAAGATAATCAAAATTCCCTTTAAATCCGAAAATTTTATTTATAAATTTGTGTTTCTTAATTTGAAAGTAATGGAAATGAACTAATAATTAGTTAGAATATATATATATATATATATATATATATATATATATATATATATATATATATATATATATATATATATATATATATATAAACGTATTTATACCTAAAAAAATATGCATAAATGTAATAATTACATATGAAAAACATTTATAAATTTTTATACCTTAAAAGCGTTTTTAAAATTCTTTGTTTTTTCATTTTAACTTATTTATATGTTGCTTGAGAAAAAAATTAGATGATAATACAATATATTGGTACAACGAACACATCATACCATGCTTATTGCTTAATTATGGATAATTAGAAATGTATGGTATACTTAATATGCCTAAGTATAGTGGACAGACGATCATACTAGACATGCTTAAGTATAGTGGACATATGGAAATGAAACCTTTTGGTTCGTAGTTGCCAAACAGGAACTAAAATTTTCTTATTTAAAGGTCTATCAAACACTTCATTTTTTTCCATCTTTCTCCCCATTGTATTCTCAATTCCAAAGAGTTTTTCTTCTAAAAGCCCGGCAACCAGTATCTGTAAGACTTAAATATTTTATAGTTTATTTGTAAATATATCTTTAATAATTCATTGGATGTATTAGCCTCTAATGTTTAAATTCATGAACTTGGATTTTTTTCTGTCAGGTGTGCTAAAAAATGGCGATGGTGGGTGATGTCTCTTTTCCTCCACATAGTGATGAAGTTGGTGATTGTCGCCTATTAGTATTAGAGATGAAGATATATCACAACTACCAAGCCCTTGTCGTTGGTTGGACATGGTATTTGACATATTTAATTATTAATATGATCTAATTGATTGTCAAATCGATTTCAAACTAACATTGTTCAAAACAGGAATCACAGAGGTCGAGCTACATTCTCAGCGACATAAGTTCACAGCCGTCGGAGTTTACATCGATCCAAAGATCATAACTCATTTGCAACAATGGAAAAGTAAGTCTGGAATGGAATTAGCTGAAGACAACGCCATCTTAGATTGAGTAATTTCAGGTAATAATTAAGTTTCAACATATAAATTCTTTTTTCATATGATGGTTGTTTTACTTGATAATTTGATTTTATGCAGCACCTGTTGATAAGTTCTTGAGAACTGTTGTGACGAAGGAGATCAAGGGAATACAATACGGTGTAGAAATAGTGCGTGCAGTGAAGGACAGATTGGTGGCTGAGCACAAGTACGGAGATGAAGAAGACATGGCTCTCGTAGAAATTATGGAGTTTTTTCCATTTCGTCCACTCAATAAGGATTCGGTACTTACTTTCAGCTTTCTGGCGACATCAAACATTGCTAAGGTATATGAATTTAAGATGGTGTATCATAACATGAAAATTAATCTTTTGATGAAATATTGTATGTTTCCTTTGATGAAATGAACAAATTGGGTTCTCAAGTCAAGGATATGGAGATGATATGACCACAATGAAAGTGGTGAACAAGAATGTAGTTGAGGCAATGAAGAAATGGCATCTGGGGTGGCACCAAGGCTTACTCCCCTTCGACAATTTTATCATTGGCAAACACTTTCGCTTCGGAATTGTCTAAATAAGTTTTGATTATCGTGTGTATTCAAATTTGGTGTATTTGTTTGTATGGACTGTTACCTTCTCTCCGTTTCCATATTAAGGTTGATTTTGCATTTATTTCGCTTGTGTTGTGTGTTTAGTTATAATTGTAAGATAATTTAGTCCTCGAACCAGGGTGGTTGATAATATTATGTGGGAACACGAAACCATAGGCTCCCATTTATCATAAAAACTGACAAAAATGGGTGAACTTGATGCTATCAACTTCAGCAATTTATATCCAAGTCAAAGACCACGACCCATTTATATCCATACATATATACTCATTACTGTCGTGCTTTTTTTTAAAGGTTATTATTTATATATTAAATAGCAAGTGGGTTTTGGGAGTCAGAGTAAAGTTCATTTTTATTGACCAAAGTTGTTAAATCCATCAAATTATGGGGTGTTAGGCAAAACTAGCTGGTAATAGGCAGCATGTAGTGGTTAGCGGGTAGCTGGTAGCGGTTAGCGGGTAGCTGCTAGTTTTTGATTTTGAAGCGTTTTGTTGAAAGCTACTCCATGTAGCTTTTCATTTTGGAGCGTTTTGTGTAGGCTAATAGCTAAACGTTCCCGTCGCTGCACGAGACTTTTTTTTTTTTAGTAACATTTTTCTTAAAAGCTAGAAGCTAGAAGCTCCCAAAAACTACGTACCGAACACGCCCTATAAATTATTATGTTTACAATGTATAAGTGTAACGAACTTTATTTTTTGTTCATATTAAGTTAACCATGCTTTTTTCCACACATATTTGTCTATTAGATTTGTTTGATTTATTCAAAATAAGGACATATCATTGATAATTTTCAATGATATTATATTATTATGAATAGGTCAAATAAGCTTACTGATGAAATATGTTCGAAAATACACAATTACCTAAATATGGACAAAAACAAAAGTTTTTTACCCGTTTTGGTAATATTAATGTCACAACTGGAAATTTTGTGTTATGTAATCTATACACTCAAGTTAATGTGAATCCAAAACTTAAGAACATGATTGACACCTACTATTATGACATCAAAAACTCCAATCAAAGGCATCATACAAGTACTACAAATAGTCATCAAACAATTGGAGACCCTAGAAGTCCTTGTTTAAGTCCATTTTGGACTAGGACTTCCTTATTGGATCCAAACGGACCAATAAGCTTCCAATTAGACTATCAGGGGCTTAGAACCCTAATTGGGCTCTAATTGGACCCACACTAATTTATTTCAACATTTTGGGCCATGTTGGGCCTAGAATGAAGTGAATTAAAAGCCTTGATACATGAATAACCTAAACTAGTCCAATAAAAATATAAAAATCCTACCACATTCTTTTAGACTTAAAACATACCCAAATTAACTCTAACACTGGGCTTAGAAGCAAGGGCCCAAAATTTCCTTTCCCTTCCAAAAATCTCGGCCCAAGGCCCAAACCCAAGAAAAGGATGAGAGTTGACTTTGTTTTGCCACTTCATTATTGTCTTTTGGATATCCATGCAACTTATCCCATATCTCCATGCATATCACTTCAAAGGTCATCTCTTCTTCCTCCCTCTCACTCTCGGCCGAGGATACACACACACACATCACAAAAATTCAATTCCAATCTCTCTAAGTCTTGAAGAGCATTCCTCCCTCCTCCTTCAAAATTTTCGTGAATCAAGAGCTTCACAAGGAGAATCCATCACCAAAATCATTATCTAGGTAAGTTAATGCTTGGATCCATGCTTTGGACTCTTTCTTGTCTTCAAAAATCTCCTCTTAACTCTCATGAAATCATAAACTTGTGTCTTAGAACTCCATAAACTCGAATTCATCATCAAAGGGTGCTAGAGTGAAACATCACTTCATTTCTTCCATTCTTTCTTCAAAAACCGAATCAACACCCAAGGTGAGCTTCATACCCCCTATTTTCTGTTTTTATGAGTTTTTTTTTTTTTGGGGGGGGGGGGGGGAATACAAGTGAAAGTGTAGATCTATATGTGTTTTGTATGCTTTGTATGATTTCCATGCTTATATGTGTGCTTTTGTGAGTTATAATGTTGGATTTAGCCATAAAACCCCTCAAAACCGAGATATACCTTATGTTAAATGATTTTAGCCTCTACTATATTTCTACATACTAAGTGTTTCTAGAAAAATAGCTAAGTGGTTTAGTAATAATTTCTTTGGGCTAAAAACACAATTTTTGGACCTAAAATGTGAAAAATACAAAATTAAGGGCCCAAATTGACATATCACGAATTCTGATGGATAAGGTGTGTCAAAACAGTTTCAATAAAACCATTTCTGGAAATATACTCATTTAGAGAATTAAAAACATAAATTTCAAGCTTAATGGGCTAAAAATGACATTTTCGGCCCAATGAGGCCCATTATGCGAAATTTTCTGTTTTGGAGGGCCAAAACTGTGTTTTTCTGTAAAACAGTGGACTATAAGTGTTCCAAGTCCTTTTCAAAGGTTTAAAATGCTTTTTAAATTTAAAAAGGACCAAAGTTGCAAAATTTTACAATTTGGGCCAAAATTGTCAAAATTGCGAAAAAGAAGGGTTATAACCGAGAAAACTGAAATTTCAGGGACTTAAGCTGTTTTCTATGAAAAATATGCTGAAAAATATTAATTTCAATAATTTTTGGTGTTAAAATGTCAAGAAAATTGATTTAAGGACCAAACCGGAAAGTATTTAAATAAAGGGTTGAAAAAGTAAATTTTACAAACAATGAGGGGCTGAAAACAGAAAACTTTCAAGGCTAATTCAATACATGCAATTTGATCAAATGATGGCACCGCGACTATCGATGAAATACAATACATTACAACACCAAAAGTCGTTGTTAAACGAATTGGTTCGGTCTCGAACCAATAAAAATCCGAAACTACTAACACGACGACACTATGACACTACGACACTACGATTCATACTAATAACGTTTGGGAATTCAATATACATGCGAGTGTGCACAGACGTCTACGCACCATCTTTGGGCCCCAAAAGTGTAAAATCTTGTTTGTTGAGCCTAGCTAGCCCAATGACCTGATCTTAAGGCCCGAAGACCTCTATCTTACGAAGTGTTGGGTTTTACCGATCCGACACAACGTAAAAGGACTTTCAATGGCTTGTATACTACTGGTCCCCAAGGGTCCTTTGGTATTGCTAGTAGAGTCTACCTTTTTATGCGAGGCGGGTCTGGGACCCCTCGTACCTTTTTATCCCCAACCGGCTAATGGAGTCATCGAGGCCTTCGTGTCCTCTTTCTCTTCGGATGTGGGACTACACGTAGTCAGGGCGGTTGGATAACGTGATTAGTACGGACGACGCCTACGGGATCGTTAGTATTGCTATAGACTAGTCGTTTGTGTAACGCGTGTTTGTAGCAAATAATCATGCTAAAAAATAATCCAACGTCGCCTGGTATTGATAACTTCACGCGTTGCAATGGTTTCAATGTAAATTCATGTAATTCAAAGAATTAGGAAAACATCGGGTTTTCCTAGGGTATTTCAATACATACGGATTCAGAATGCATACAATTTTAATGAACAATTTTTACAAGTATAGAAACAAACAAGCATACCTATGGATCTTCACACCTTTTTGACTATACTATTTTCAGAAAATATCGGATTTTCTGGTGGTTTTCAAACAATACAAAACATTGGATTTCAAACACTACTTATGAACTCACCAACATTTCATATGTTGACGTTTTTCAAAATACTTGTATTCTCAGGGAACCAATGAATCAATGGAAATCATATTCAGTGATGGCTTGCAGTTTATTTATGTACGAAACGAACAATTTATTTTTGGGAATATAATGTTTAAACAATGTACTTCATGTAAACTTTACTGGTTGTACTATATTAATGCATGGTGACGAATGTTGTTACGTTTCATATATATATACAATGTTATGGTATTCAATTGAGTCACAACAGCCCCCGGACGTTTCCGCCGTCTGGTTCGGGGTTGTGACAATTAAGCTCTTTGTTCTAATTGCAAGTATTTATAAGACACATTGATATTACATGGAATCGAGCTATCGGGTCTTGGTGTCAAATCTGGATTGTAGATCTGAAGTAGGTGGTGTTAGTGAGTTCCCGACTTGTTTCGTGTTGCCATCAGAGAACAAAACCACTATATCGCCTAAGGGACTGTAACCCGGGAGCAGACTCTCACGATTATGTTAGATCGATGTGTAGAACTAGTGCGTGCAGTGAAGGACAGATTGGTGGCTGAGCACAAGTACGGAGATGAAGAAGACATGGCTCTCGTAGAAATTATGGAGTTTTTTTCGTGTCGTCGACTCAATAAGGATCTGGTACTTACTTTCAGCTTTCTGGCGACATCAAACATTGCTGAGGTATATGAATTTAAGATAGTGTATCATAACATGAAAATTAATCTTTTGATGAAATGAACAGATTGGGTTCTCAAGTCAAGGATATGGATATGATATGACCACAATGAAGGTGGTGAACAGGAATGTAGTTGAGGCATTGCAGAAATGGCATCTGGGGTGGCACCAAGGCTTACTCTCCTTCGACAATTTTATCTTTGGCAAACACTTTGGCTTTGAAACCGTCTAAATAAGTTTGGATTATCGTGTGTATTCAAATTTGGTCTATTTGTTTGTATGGACTGTTATCTTGTCTCTGTTTCCATATTAAGGTTGATTTTGCCTTTATTTAACTTGTGTTGTGTGTTTAGTTATTAATTGTAGAATAATTTAATCCTCGACCCAGGGTGGTTGATGATATTATGTGGGAACACGAAATCAATCCATACGCTCCCATTTATCTTAAAAACTGACAAAAATGGGTGAACTTGAAGCTTTCAGACTTCAGCTATTTATATCCAAGTCAAAGTCCACGGCCCATTTATATCCATCCATATATACTCATTACTATCATGCTTTTGTTTGAAGGTTATTATTTATATATTAAATAGCAAGTGGGTTTTGTGAGCCGAGTAAAGTTCATTGTCTTGACCACAGGTTGTTAAATCCATCTTCTTAGGGCCAGGGTTTATCACGTATATGTGTAACGAACTTTAGTTTTACATATAAGTGTAACGAACTTTAGTTTTTGTTCGTACTCAGATAACCATGTTTTTTTTCGTATATATTTAACCATTAAACTTATTTGACCTATTCAAAATAAAGAAATATGATTGGTAATTACCGGTGATATTATCTCATTATAAACAAGTCATATAAGTTTACTAGTCATATATATATATATATATATATATATATATATATATATATATATATATATATGAAAATACATAATTACCAAAATATGGACAAAAACCAAAGTTTCTTACCTATGTTGGTACTATTAAGTTCTTTATGTTAAGTGCAAATAGGCATAAGACACACTATATGGCATGGAATCGGGCTATCAGGTCTTGGTGCACTAGTCCAAAAATGACCTACAGACACACCAGAAAAGTATGATCATATACATATAGTGACATTTTATTTTTTCTCTGAAAGTGTGACGGAAGGTGACACCATCGTATGGGTCTTATGGTCACTTTAAAATATAGTGTCCATATGATATGAAAAGATGCGGATGTATTATAAAAGTGAGGCAAATGTGTACGGAATTTTGTTCATTAAATATCCAATATTGTAGCGTTAAACCGTCAGTAGATGTTGAACACGACTCTTTATATGGGAAACAACAAGACTTTTATTAAGACACTTAAGGAGAACTTACACTTTGTGAGACTACTACACACTTTGCTTACTTGGAGGCTTTTCTTGGATAGTTTGGATACTTAGATGTTGGATTATTTGGAGCAAATGAGCTCCACACCTATTTATAGGTGTTTCCACCTCCTTATAGGAAGTTTCTAGATCTACATACATTCATGGCTATTCTAGAACTATCTACCATATTCTATATCTATTACAAGCTTTTATATGTTTCTAGAATGTTCTATAATGTCCTAGATAAGTATAGACATTCTTGTGTCTTCCATAGTGTTCTAGAATGTTCCATAGCCTTCCAGGGTCTTCTATCTCGTTCTAGAGTATTCTAGAATCTTCCGGCATCTTCAACACTCCTCCATAGTATTCCATAATGTTCTAGAATCTTCCAGATCATTCTTGAACATGCTAACTTCTTCTAGACAATAACATGATTCTATTGGGCTAGTGATGACCTTCAACACTCCCCCTCAGTACTAGCCCCTATTCGTTGTACCATGTTGAGCTGATAATTAAAGCCCTCATATTTGTCAGTACTTAACCCTTTATGAACTCCATTTGCTACTTGGTCATTAGTCTTGATATGTTTCATATTGACTTCTTCCTTGAGAACTTTTTCTCTTCCACATGTTTTGTTTTTCCTTAGTTGTTGCAGTCGTTGCTTCGTATATTGTTTCCATAGTTGACAACGACATTCGTGGTTGCCTTTTGTTGCACCATAATATTGTCCGTGACCCCGTTGAACTCTCTTATATAGTTTCTTATGCCTCCCATTGGAGAACTTGTAAGCATGTGGGGTGTCCCTTTTACAAGCCCTGGAAAATTCCTGTAATATTAACATGTTATGACGTGATCCCTTATTGATCTGATCATCTCGTTTAGATGTTGCTTGGTTGAGAGATTTTACTTTGCTCTTACGAATTAATGTGTTTTTTCTTCTTATTCGCCTTATCAGGTTTCTCCATCACATGTTCCACTTTTCGTCTAAGATGCGAGTTTTATGTAACCCTAGTGACATTATGTTCTTCTTCTCCTTCGGAATGTCCATCTTTGAGGGAACAATTTCCTCCTTCAAGGCTGTCATAAACTTTGCCTCACTCTTCTTGAGACCTTTGTCGAGTTGCATAGTTGATAGGATTTGGGATCCAATCCTATTTCTCTTCAAGGGTACAATGTGAATTATTGAACCCTTAGTGATACGCATGGTATCATCTCTCTCAAATGACCAGGGTCGTACGTTGTCTAGGAAATCCATTCCCAATACCATACGATAGTCATCCATATGCACCACTGTCAAGTCTATGGTGCCTTCCCATTCTGCTATCTTAAGAGGTACTCCATATGCAACACCAATGATAGGCTTGGATAAAGAGTTGATGACTTTCAACCGGCCTGGATTTTGGTGTATTTGATGCCCAACTTTTTAGCTTCATCTTTAGCAAGGAAATTATGGGATGCACCTGTATCTACTAAAGCCTTGGTGTATCCTCCATTTACCCTGGCATCCACGAACATTAGCCTTCCTCTTTTAGTCTTATTCTCTTCTATAGCACATAGTGCCTCAGCATCCCATTCATCCTCTACTTCCTTTTTGGAAGTTACTACATTGCTTTCCACAGACTTTTTATTTGACCAATAATCCTTGGACATGTGGCCCCACTTTCCACAGTTGTTGCAGTTTCCTTCGAACCTCCTCCCTCGAGAACTCTTATTGTCGGTCTTTTGAGATCTCCATGGTTGTGAGGTTCCTTGTTGACTCTTCCCTTTGTCAGCATTTTTGTATCCTTCTTTAGAAGGTGGCTTGAAATTCCTCCGATTTTTACTTGTGTAGAGTGCTTCTTCTTCACTCTTCAGCGTGATGCCTCCCATTTGCTTAGCCATAGCTTCTTGGCTGGCCAATAAATTCTCAAACTCTACAAGTGATGGTTGAACGGGCCATCCTTGTACAGCAGTAACAAAGCTTCTATATTCCGACCTTAGTCCATGGATAATGATCCTCTTCATTCGAGCTTCTGCAATGACGGATTGTGGATCTAGTTCAGTAATCTCCCGACATATCGACTTGAACTTGTGGAAATATTGAGCAATCGTCATGTCACGTTGTGAGATTGATAATAGCTCGTTCTCCAAAAATTGTAGTCTCGTATCATTCTTCTTTGAGAAAAGCATCACAAACGTGTCCCAAGCTTCTTTCGGGGTGTTCTCATCCCGAATATGCTCCAACATCTCTTCTTCGATTGTGGTCTTCAAGGCAAACATTGCTTTGCCTGCTTTGATTTTCCATCTGCACAAAGCACCATTAACGTCTTCGTCTGGTGGCGTAGTTTCGCTTCCACCAACGACCTCTCATAGATCTTGTCCTTGTAAGTAGGACTTCATACATGTTTCCCACGTTTTGTAGGTGTTGTTGTTGAGTTTCTTGATTCCTCCGACGACTTGGAGATCACCCATCGTGTTGGTAGTACCTCGGTAATACCAAACAAGCTAGTTTCGACACTAAACTTGCAGAGTCACAAACTACTCACGATACAACGAGAATCACTCGTTCTCACTATCAAGAAACCTTGCTCTGATATTTATTTAGTAAATGTAGTGATTGTATATCACCAACTTGCGACATTCATGTTGTTTTAGGTGTTGTTTGATTTTCTGAAGCAAAAATTCGTGAAGTCTGAGGACCACTTCTGGAACCCTCTGCAGTAGAAGAGGTGGATCAAACGACTGCAAACTGTAATAAGAAGCGTGTGTGTCTTTTTAACATCTGCATACTACTGCAAATATTAAAAAATTAATATAAACTAATTTTATAAATTAAAAATATTTTTTTAATACGAAAAATTTAATAATGTATAACATTTCGGCAAGAATTAATGATATTTCAATAAAAAAAATAATGATATTTTAATAAAAATAAATAAAGATATTTAGCAAAAAATAGTGATATTTCATCAAGAATCTATAATTATTCAATAATAATAAAAAAATTCAACAAGAAAAAAAAAGTGAAATAAAATTTCAACAACATATAATAAAAATTTCAGCAAGAAAAAAAAAGAAGAAGAAGAGGTTAGAAGAGGCAGTACAAGTGTTGTGTCAAACAGAGCACGCGCATATGTTTTTTACTCTGAAAACTTCTAAAAAACAAACAACTGCGAGATGAAAAGTGATGCGTGTGTGCTGTGCCGCGCAACAATAAGGGGTTTGAAAACTTCTAAAAAACAAACATCACTTTAGTGTGGTTGTTTTCTATTTATATTGTCTCACAGTTTAAATTTTATTAAGATTATTGTGTATCCTTTGTAAGCATGTAATTACGGTGAGCATAACCATGTTCGCTAAATACTCACATATAATTAATTTCATAAGTGACGATTTGCTAATAATTAGTCGCAAAAACAATCAATTTTTTGTGACCATTTCGTATTGTATAGAGACACAGAATTAAGTGAAACACAATCATAAGTCTTATAAAGACACACATTTAATTAAAACTAAACACTATTCGGTATCTTATAGTCGCATGATGTTTTTACAATTGTGACTATTATAAAACCTGTAGTCACATAATACATGACATATTGTTATTGTTTTGACACACAACGATCTATCATTGGTAATATTATCTAGTTTTTAGTCACACATATATAACTGTATACATGACTATAAAATGATTATAGACACACAATTAATGCTTATCGTCCCTATTGTTTAGTATTAGTATTTAGCCACATAAGTTTATAATAGCCATAAGATTTGTTATCCTTTGAACTCACCAATATTTTTGCAGTGTGGCTATTGATTATAATTTAGACACCTCAAACCAATCAAATCATAGTTATAAGTGTTGTATCGACACACATCCATAAAATA